CCATTTGGCAACACCGCTGTAGGTGTCACTGTGAGACCGGCGGTTTTGCTCGTCACATTTCTACCACACAATTCATTTATGAGTCAGCGGTAGGTAGAGCAGTACGGGACCTCTGAGCTCTGTTCCCACCACATACAGAGACAGGATGCATGTGGCTGCATTAATGCCAAGGGGATCATCTTGTATCAAGGCCACCAGGATTATCTCAGAGACACTTCTCCAATGAAAGACCACCAGAGCGCAGTTGCAGGGGGCACCACTTGGCATTTCTCTTCCCTCCCGCACAGCCCCACCCCAGAGGATTCATCTGTTTAGCCCAGGATAATCTGAAGCCTGCTCCACAACCCTCTCTGCACATCAGCCTTCCACCAGTGAGCGAAAGCCCACCAGCCAGCACCTTCTTGAAAGAGTAAGGTGAGAAAGCCAAAGTTTACAACTGTCCCACGAGCGAGCGGAGGCAGCACGTGTCCTTCAGGAGCAAGAGCCTTGTTAACTAATTTTTGGCTTTCAGACCTGCAGTGCCAGGAAGGTCTCAGAGTTTCCTCTGAACACCTGCAGGGGCTTGAGCTGCTCCCCGTGTGCAGATGTGAAGTGGCCGGTGCAACTGATTGTCCCGATATTCTCACACTTGCTCAAGCTTTGAAACACGGCCTTAGGAAGGGCAGCGACAGTCATCTGTCTAAGCCCCCACATTCTTTTCTGCTACTGAACTTGAAGGAGCATTTGTCAAACCCTCTCCACCTGCTTGTTGCGGGAAAACATTTGGGTTAAACTGAAGGTTTGACATATCTAACAAATTCTCTTGGTGGAGTTGTCAGTACCCCCATCTTTTCCCTAGTTCTACCTCTCCAGATTGTGTGTGAATTTTCTCTCCTTCACCTCCATCTGTACTTCTATATTTGCTCCTTTTCCCCTGGCAGCTCTCCTCTCCCCCCGCTCTATTGCTCTAGCTGAGCAGAGGGCAACCTGCTGGTGGGGGTGCCAACGGCGCTCCTGTCGGTGCTGTGGGGAGCCACGGGAGGAAGCGCGAGGGGTTCGACGTGGTATATTGCAGTCGAGATCTCCCCCCTGCACAGTGAACTCTTCCAGGAGTCCGGTGCAGTCCCAGCCACTAACAAGCGGAGGCAGAAGGGACATGGCATCGGGGTTTTGGGGGCAATGGCACGACACAGCCAGGAGCTGCCATGTCATTTGTCCCCATCGCGTCCCGTCCCATCCCACTGCCACGTCGCTCAGGTCCCAGCTGCTTGGCAGACACGTGCCCACAGCCTGCCGCGGCGCTCAGCTGCTGTCTGAAGCTAAAGCCTTCTCCGTTCCCAACCTGTTCTTTTGCTCTTCTGGCACTCACAACATCCACGTGCAGGGCTGTCACCCACAGTCCTGGCAATGCCGCAAGATTGGAACAAGGCAGCAAGAGCTGGTTTGTAGGTTATGGGAGGTGGTGAAAAGAGCGGGCTGCTGCCGCTGCGGAGCCAGGAATGGGGCCAGGCTACAAAAGACTGAGCCAGCCCATATGCTGTAACACCCCTCACCCCCAGCACAACATTTACCAGATGTTCAAGTGCACATTTTGATTCATCCCGTCGTAAAGGTTGAAAACATTTAAAAATGAAGATCCAAGCACAGGCTATCACTCTCTTCAAAAAATGAGAGTGTTTGGAGAGGAGGTTTTACTTCAAGATCATCAGAACAGCGGGGGGAACACAACAGAATGGTTCAAGCTACAAATCCCTCCTTAGTCAGTATAAAATTTAAGTAAACGTCTTCGACGTAGGAGAAGCTGAAGGGAAAGAAAATGCATGAGCAGAACCTCCACCTCCTTTCCTCAACACACTCCACCTGTGAGCAGGGGCCAGGCTGCGGCTGCTGCCTCCCCACCGCGCAGGAGCTGCGTTTCAAAGGACAGTTTAATTGCGGCTCTGATGCAGGAGCGCAGCCCGTCTCCCAGCCCTCCTCTGCATCGGCCTGTTTGACACTGGAGCAGAGCCCAGCTGCGCCCCGGGGACTGCACCGTCATCCCCAGTGCCGGCGTTGCAGCCCATCGTGCCACCCACTCAGCAAAGCAGCCGCAGGTTTGCTGTACTGGAGCTTTCTGCGTGCCCTGCATTTCGGGAGAACCTCCTCCATGGAGAACATGAATCTCCCATTAGTCTTTATAGCACCTCAATTTGAACAAGGGGAGAAAGCGTCATGCAATATTAATTGTGCAATTCTCTTAACAGCACACACTGTACCCACGTGAGTAGCTGCACAGTTTACACCCTCTTTGGTCCATCTGATCTACTTTCAGAAGGATTTGCACGTGTAAAATGTTCTTTATCTTCGTGCCAGCCATAGCCACGTACCTTCCGCGTAGTGCTTGGAGCATACAATGTCTGTGGTGTATCAAAAAAATATTCCTCCCTCTATCCTTTGGAAATACTGATCCTCTCCCAGCTCTGGAGTCTCTCCAGCTCGCTGGGGGTAGGAGGCAGCGCTGTGAAGCCCACCCTTGTGTCTGCCCAACCACTTGGATTAGACACCTCCCATGTTTAGGCCCATTAACCTGATCACAACAGCTTGATGAATTAATGCTTATATAGACACAGTTGGCAGCTTCTAATTAAATAATTATGGCTAAGCAGCTGCAGAGAAGTTGTAATGTTCCACTAGAAAGCCAGATGTCAATTTTATTGGTCCTCAAAGTTTCAGATTAAATGATTTTGGGAAATTTGGAAAGAAGCTTCTTTTGCCCCAGGCGAATCCTGCAGGTAGCGTGGCTGCTCGCGGGCTGGCTGGCTGCAGCCAGGCCCAAGCACATGGCTGGCAGCCCCAGTAGCCCCAGTAGCCCCAGCAGCCCCAGTACCCCCAGCAGCCATCCACCAGCTCTCTTGTGGCAAGCAGTGGTGGGCGCAGAGCACACCACCACCATTCAGACTGAGGTAAGAGAGAGGGATTTGGCACCACGGTCACCATGGCTTTAGCTTTAACCTAGGGAAGGACCCTTCGAAGAGTCCAGCTCTGAAACTGTATCAGTGTCAAACCCCCACAAAACTGCGATGAGCCAAATGCAAAGCCTGTTCAACTGGCTAAGAGTCTCCCAGGAACTTTAATTGGATTGGGCTTTCCCTGCACTGGTGAGAGAAGCTTTTGTGACACCTTCTATAGACGTTCACTCTCCAGAATTTCAGAGGTATCTCTCATCTCAGTACCTAACCCGGCTCTAGGGATTTGGAAGAAATGAGCAATCCTTGAAGGGAAAAATTTGAGTAATATGAAAATCAGGAGTCTGTGTTTGCTAATTCATGCAAAACCTATGTTCGTTCTCTCTTCAATTAGCAAACCATTGTGCCTATAAGGCACACATTTTTATTTTTTTTTATTTTAAATATAAATGCAAACACCATTTATTCTAATCCATTCCTTTACTACACTAAATCTCCTCCTATAACTTGTACAAGACACTAGAATTGCAAACAGAAGCCCAATAATAGAAATCATCCATCCCTGTCAGAATATAAGTGGATCCATGACCTTAGAAGTATTTTGCTAAGAAATCCAGCTAGAAAACTAATTTTAAGTAAATCTATGCATGTCAGAAATACAGATGGCTTTTCAGGGTGCTAACTTAAGCATCATTACATAAGCAGATCAGGGCTGCCTGTTGAGCCCGGACACGAGAGTAGATGGCGCTGAAGCCGGTATTACACACAAACTATTCACTTCCTGATACATATTCCATCTACAACTTTTGTCAGCTCTGCACTACTGAGCCCGCTAACTGCTGAGAGCGAGCCTGCTAACTCTGAGACGGAACCTGCTAATTCTGAGATTAGGCCACTAACTCTGAGACTGAGCCCTCTAATTCTGAGACTAGGCCACTAACTCTGAGACTGAGCCCACTAATTCTGAGACTGAGCCCTCTAATTCTGAGACTGAGCCTGCTAACTCTGAGACTGAGCCCACTAAATCTGAGACTGAGCCCACTAATTCTGAGACTGAGCCCACTAAGTGCAGTGCAGCCAGTCCACCAGCAAAGCATCAGCCTTCCCTCACCCCCAGTGTCTGCAGCAGCTGCTGGCTAAAGCCTGCTCTTCTCCAAATGGGCTTTACCGAGGAAATGTTCCATCCTTCACCCTCTTGAAATGAAAACGGAGGAAAACAGCCCCGTGAACCTCTCAAATATTTAAGTACAGCAATTGTGGAATGCTCCTCTGATACAGAATCAAAATTACCCTGGTGTTACCATTGGTAACGGTGCCTCTACCTGGATATCGACCTGGGAAGTTAATGAGCCTGCTCGAGTCGCAGCTAAAACCCCCGGCAGCGCGGGAGCTGGTGTGACTGCGGTGAGCGGGGCAGCTCCTTCTCAGGACAAGGGCAGTTGGGTTCTCATAGGCACGTTGCATAACAAGGCACAGCAACTTGCCCGGCTCCGAGCCCTCGCTGCTGAGCACATCAGCTGGCGCGGAGAAGGCTCCCGTTGAAAAGCAGCCAGGGGAGGGGATTGTGTTTTCCCTTCCCTGTGTGTCAGGGTGTCAGGTTTGCTGACAGATGGCTCGGCTGACTCTACTCGACCGTTATCAAGCAGCTATTACCTTTGTAAACTGAATCCCATTTGAAGATTTTCTGTAATTAAATCTGCAGTGCGTTTGCGAGGCTTGTGCCTCAGCCCGCACGCAGCCGGGATGCGCGCAAGGCCCCGGCTGCCTGCTGAGCACAGCCAGGGCAGCGGTACCCTCCAGCCCCCAGGATGGGTGCCGTGGGGATGGGTGCCGCGGGGATGGGTGCTTTTGGCAGTCTGTGCTGCCACCTAGCCAAGACCAAACCACTCAGTTCAGCCTTGCTTCACATTTCCAAAGCTTAAACCCAAGCGTAACCCCCCCACTCCAGATGTAAATAAAGCCTGGGGCCGCGGCAGACAGAAGGCAACTGGCGCTCTCTGGGCTTCGAGAGAGCCAGCGGCAGAGAGCGGCTTAAAACAGGTCGTTACATTTCCCTCAGAAACGCCTTGTACTTACGGTAGAAGACATATTCAGTGTAGCTGGACCAGACCTTGTCGTCTGTGTACTGGTTGACAAAGGAAGCCGTCACCGAGGAGTTACAGGCCACCATGTGGAATCCACACTCGGACAACATGTCGAAAGCCCTCTCCAGGTGCTTGAACTTGAGATAAAACCTGGAGGTGTACCTTTCTGGAGCCCTGTCTGGGTCTCTGCTTTCATTCAAACTTTCTCCAAAGACCTCTTTGACCAGAGCAATCCTTCCACAAACCAAAATCCTCGGGACCCTCCTGAATTTGGCATCTGCTTGGCTCTCCCTGCCAATAGTGCAGGACCCCCGGTACCCAATGGTAATGAATCCCCACTTCCGATCAGGCGGTAAGAGCGATGAGGGTGGGCATATTCTCGTGTCGCTGCCTTGGGAGACCTCTTCATAGTCACTGTGGCAATAATCATCAGGGCTTTGTTTGTCATCAGGAGTCAGGAGTTTGACCAAGTCCGGGAGCTGGAAGTACTCAGCCTCCCTCTTGAGCCTTCCCTTCTCTGGGAAGTGGTCAGGCAGGACCACTTGCTTGTCCCTGAGATAGTCCAGAATATAGCGGAAAAGGAAACCATCTCTGTCGATGAAGAATCTTCCCTTGGAGTCCTTGGCCAGATCGTTGGCTGTGTCTCTCTTTGGGGTGAACATTTTCCACAGCAGGGAGTGAGGGGTGCCAACCAAGGTGGAGTGGCGAGTGAAGTAAACCTGGCCGCCCACGTTTAGCTCCACTACCTCTGGGAAGGAGTGCAGCCCAGTCCCCTGCTCTCGAGAAGGAAGGTAAGTCCTGCAGTTGCCACTTAGAGCCATTGTACTTTAAAACAGAAATCAGCAGCAGGAAGCAGCAGGACTCTCAATCACATCAAAGTGTAGAATAAGGCTCCCAACATCAAGGAGGTACAGGGGGGAAAAGGGAAGTGTGAAAAGAAAAAATAGCCAAAAGGTTTGTTTAAAAAAAATCTGAATTGTCCATGAGTGACAGTGTGGCAGAAGTGGCTTATACCCTAAGCCACAGAGGCTGGAGAGCGATCACTTCGGGAAATGCAGTCACATCGTTAGATCTTCCAACAAAGCCATCAAAATCAAGGTCAAGCCAAGCCTATGGTCCCTCACAGGTCTGTCAAAAGGGAAAACAAAATAAGACACAAATTATTCCTTTAAGCATCACAGAAGCTGCGACAGAGAAAAGCAGATCAGTTTAGAAAGCCGAGCTAGATCTCCTGCTACACAGGTCTATTTTTCTGTGAGTTCTACGCTTCTTTTTCACGAGTACTAATCAATGGGAGGACTACATATGACTCTGCCGTCTAAAAGAAAATACGTACTTCATCTTTAAAGAAACATCTAATTTAGACATGCACATGAGGGAACAAGAACAGCAAGTCTTACCTTGGTTACAATTAGTGCACAGCTCTTGTAAAGGAAAGCAAAATTTCAAGACACTCAGAACACACACACAGGCACAGAGAGTCCAGTTAGCACGAAATCCGATCCCAGCAAAGGGCAGCAAAGGCAAGAAAAGTGCTCTGAGCAACATCCGCGTAGATCTCAAGAGTTAAACCGAGTCACAGGAAAGTTAACCGTGGCAGGTGACGAGAGAAACTGACACGTACAGTATGATTGGGGGGGAAGAAAAAAACCCAACCCAACCGCACCAGAATGCCCCGACTAACCGCGCCGGGGCTGGGTGCGAGTGGGGCAGGGGGGGCGCGGGGGCGCGTTTCGGCGGGCTCAGATGACTTGCA